GATTTGTTTTCTAAATATGAAAATACTTCAATGTCGCTTTGAATGACTGGTGTCAAACTACCAAATTTTTTGTCTATATCGCAAAAAAAATCTTTATTACTACTACTACTGGAGGTTGATTGTTTACATAAAAATTTCTTACAATACTCTTCTACAATCTTAGATAAATTGAAAAAGATAAAATTTCTTTTAATCTAAGATAAGATAAAGATAGTATATATTCTTAATAATCTAGCTAGATCAAGATAAGATAAAACCATTTCTTCATCTAGATGAAGATAACGGAAAACACTGGACATATTCAATACAACATTGCGTTTATTCAATACAATGACTTTACTGACCTACTGAAAAATGGCAGTAATATCTTTAATCTAGCCGTTATCAGTTCTCTTTTGTTCTCTTCCATGCCGAGAACGTAAGATCCTGACATGTTTATGCACGCTATCGAAAGATATGGCAATAATGTACATAAACACGTCATACGCCGATACGCCAAAGCTTGTGCGTTATTTACGTCTATAACTTAAGTGTGTCGTAAAATGTTACGGCAGTGCTTGTGCTCAGACCCTCACTCAGTACTCAGTGCTCACTGCACACTGTGCTTTCTTCCAGTTCGAAACGAATAACGATCTCAAAAGCAATCAAGTACGCGAGTTACGAATAACATTATACTTGTGCAAAAAAATGAAGTCTTTGTGCAAACATTAATTAGAGAAAAAAGGTGAAAGCAAACACGGTTACTTAAAAGATCTTTCAAAAAAATAGAGAAATTATAAAAACGTTGACAAAACTCTTGCTTTCCGTCATCAACAAGATATGTATTTTAAGTGGAACAATTGCAATATTTTTTAACCTTTTCCTTTACTTAAGAAATGTAACGTTATTGCAATAGAAAGAATCATACATTTTCATATTATTTCAAAGTCCTTAAAAAGTCTGATGTAAGATTATGTTTTGGAAATTCTGTCGAATTATTTGGAAATTTAGTTGAAATTAATATTTTCGGTAAATGTGTCGATGAAGGGACCCCCCTCCAATGACTTTAACCTTGACATATGTTGTCAAGGTCATGACCCTGAGTAACCTCCAATAGGTTTTAGCCGTCGCTCGTCCTTCGTTAAAAAGTTATTAACAATCATAGTTTTAAAATAAACGTATTATTTCTGCTATACATGTATGATATGAAGTACTATTCTACACCTTTCCCTATTCAGAAACGTTGAACTTTCCATGCGAAGTAACTTTT